CCCCGGCCCGAGGGCTACCGCGTGCCCGGGGGGCACCGGCCCGACCCCGCCGAGCTGCGGCGGCTGCAGCGCGAGCGCGACGGCGCCCGCCAGTGCCAGCAGGTACGGGGCACGGGATCTATGGGATCAATGGGATCTATGGGATCAATGGGATCAAATGGGATCTATGGGATCAATGGGATCAATGGGATCAGGGATCAATGGGATCAATGGGATCAGCGCGACGGCGCCCGCCAGTGCCAGCAGGTACGGGGCACGGGATCTATGGGATCTATGGGATCAAATGGGATCAATGGGATCAATGGGATCAATGGGATCAGCGCGACGGCACCCGCCAGTGCCAGCAGGTACGGGGCACGGGATCTATGGGATCAATGGGATCAATGGGATCAATGGGATCAGCGCGACGGCGCCCGCCAGTGCCAGCAGGTACGGTGGCATGGGATCTATGGGATCTATGGGATCTGTGGGATCAATGGGATCTGTGGGATCAATGGGATCAGTGCCAGCAGGTACGGGGATTTCCCCCGTTTTTCCCATTTTTCCCCCGTCCAGGCCCTGGAGGTGGAGCGGCAGCAGAGCTTCCAGCAGCTGCTCCTGTTTTTCCCATTTCCCCATTTTTCTCGTTTTTCCCATTTTTCCCGTTTTCCCCCGTCCAGGCGCTGGAGTTGGAGCAGCAGCGGAACTTGCAGCAGTCACTCCCATTTTCCCATTTTCCCATTTTCCTCGTTCCAGATGCTGGAGTTGGAGCGGCAGCGGAACTCCCAGCAGTCACTCCCATTTTCCCCGTTTCTCCCATTTTCCCATTTTCCCCGTTTTTTCTCCCGTTCCAGGCGCTGGAGTTGGAGCGGCAGCAGAACTTGCAGCAGTCACTCCCATTTTCCCATTTTCCCATTTTCCCCGTTTTCCCCCATCCAGGTGCTGGAGTTGGAGCAGCAGCGGAACTCCCAGCAGTCACTCCCATTTTCCCATTTTCCCATTTTCCCATTTTCCCCGTTTCTCCCATTTTCCCATTTTCCCATTTTTCCCCGTTCCAGGCGCTGGAGTTGGAGCGGCAGCGGAACTCCCAGCAGTCACGCCCATTTTCCCATTTTCCCATTTCTCCCATTTTCCCGTTTTTTCTCCCGTTCCAGGTGCTGGAGTTGGAGCGGCAGCAGAACTCGCAGCAGTCACTCCCATTTTCCCATTTTCCCATTTTCCCATTTCCCCATTCAGGCGCTGGAGCTGGAGCGGCAGCAGAACT